CCCCCGCACACCCCCTCTTAACAAACCCCCACGCACCCCACCCACCAGGCATCTGCTCCACCTCCCAGGCTGTGGCGTTTTTCATTACCGTGTCCTTGTCCAGCTTGATGCGGTATGCCTGGGGGTTGTCAACAGGGGTATGTGAGTTCAGTGGGTTCGAAGTGGGGTAGGGTTGAGAGGGCAGCAGGGTCGGCTTCAAATCAATCGTCTGCAAACGTCGCTTCCACTCATGCAGATTGACAGTGCTATTTGGGGGTTTCTGAGCGTCGTCGTCTGCGAATTTGATCGAGAGCAAGAGGCTGCCCGTCGGGGGCTGCGCAAGTGCTGTGGGGGCCAGAGGCCAGGGCTAACACAGAGGTCAGATACGTGCAACAAGCAAGCCGAGTTGTCGGCTGCGGTGCTCAGTCAAATGCAGGGCCCCAGACGCCCCTTGCTGGGTAGCGGGTTTGCGAAGCGGCTTCCCAGATTCCCAGCAGCTGGCTGCCTTTGGCCGCACCTTATCGTTGGCAGGGACGTCGCAGGCGCAGGCGTCTGCGGGGCAAGGAAAGGGGGAGTTGTTGCGGGCAGGACGCGCGGCGAGGACCGGCAGGCAGCAGGCCGCTCTGTCGGCGAGCGTGAGGGCAAGCGGGCTAGCCGCGTCGAGCGCCGCACAACACTGGGCGGAGGCCCCGCCACACGCAATCCGAGCCTTGGAGAGAGATACATGGCAATTTGGCGGCGTCTCGAGTGCTGTCACGGTGCGCAGCTGCCCGGCAAGCGCCGCGGCATGGTTGCTCTATGAAGCGGAGTCGCCTCACCGCCGGACAGCGTGGTGCCGCCGAACATTGCCAGCTCAGCGGCGTAGCCGTTTTCGGGCTCCAGAGTCAGCAGGGTGTGGCCGCCCGCAGCAGACAGCGCGCTGAGCACACGATTGACACAGTTGGTTGGGGTGGCGAGTTTGAGTGTGGACACAAAAGGGATGCCAGGCGTGCGTGCAGAATCGTCTTCGAAGGAGCCCAAGCAGACACGGCATCGGGAGGCTTCCGGCGCCTCGGCCGCGGCGCCTGCATGCATGAGAGGCGTGCACTCAGGCGCCCCCCCGGCAGGCTGTTCCCGCGGCCCCGTCGCTGGCTGATTGTGCTGCGTGAGGGCAACCGGCGAGGCGGTGGCTACGGGTGGGTGGGGCGACTCCTTGGGCCGGCCGCGGCGGCGCACCTAACAAAGCCGGGCGTGGGCCAGGGGGGCAGGTCCCTGAGAGCATTGACCTGGTTGTCTGGGCTGGCAAACATGACCTGGTCATGCCGTTTGGGGTGTGAATGACGGGGTTCAGTTTCACATGCAAGAGTCGGGGGAATGGGTGGATAGGGTTAGGTATTGACTGTGTAAGGTTTGTCTGGGTAGTTAAGATTGACTGTAGGGTCAATGATGGCGAGGCGGGTCGTGTGTGCGCGTGTGTGTGTCGTGTGTGTGTGTGTGTGTGTGTGTGTGTGTGTGTGTGTGTGTGTGTGTGTGTGTGTTCGAGCTTGCCACCAATCGGAGGTGTCGCGGGTAGTGAGAAGGTCGATCCCCAAAAAATCCGGCAGCCCTAGGGTTGAGGGTTTAGGGTTTACCCTAGGTTCTCTGGCGCGCCGCCTCGTCCTCTATGGGATAGCAGACAGAGACACAAGCGCCCCCTCGCCCAAGCGCCCCGAAAAACCAAAACTCCGGAGACTCGCGTCAGCAGCCGCACGCCCGCCCACCTGGCCAGCGTTGCCGCCAAACAGGAGGAGCGGGAAGCTGCCGGCCGGCAGAATGTCGTCGGTCCAGGGCAGCTGGATCACAATGGGGTTGAGGATCAGGCCGCCGAGGGACACCAGCTCTGGCACCTGTTTCGAGGGCGTGCGTGTTGATACGTGTACACATCATTTTTGAGGGCGGCTGGGTGGGTGGTCGGGGCTGGGATCCCGGGTTGGGGTTGGGGCTGCGCATTGGACTGCATTGGATCAGGCGCACTTTCGAGCGCGTTTGCGGCTGAATAAAGCACCGAGCGGATCCGGCGTTTGGTTTTTGGAGGGGGAGACAACTGAGGGAAGACAGGCGGCTACCGGGGCAAGCGCGTTGCATATGGTAAAGGCAGCCTTTGGACGTCAAGCAGGGCTGGCCTCCTTCCCGCCGCTTACTGCCCCTCAACGCTCGCCATTTGCATGCATGCGTACACAGCGCGCGCCAACCCCGCACCCGGGACAAAGTGGTGACAGTGTTGTTGAGGAAATCGAAGATCTCGATCGAGGGAGTGGGCGTGCCCGTCTCGCCGTTTGCGTATCCGCCAACGATCAGGGTGCGGACACCGTCGCCCAGAGGCAGCTGGGTCGGGTACCTACGGGGAGGGGGGAGGATGTGGAGGGGGGAATGAGTTGTAAACGACAAGCCTGGCTTCAGCGGCGGCCAGTGGCGCGGGGAGGGTGGGTAGCCACAGAGCTTCCAGGCGCGTGCGTTTGTGAGCGGTCGCAGGCTCCGCCGTCATGTGAGCGGGTCACGGCAGGAGCTCGCTGCCGCCTGCTGAGGACCACCTGCCGCCTGACAACC